CTTAGCTGGTACTCACATGTGTACCAGGCATGCACAGAGTGCTCCAGGGACAAGGACTTATGACAACAAGCCAAGGAAAAAACGCACCCACCGGCTGCATTTTCCAGGGCCAGGCCAGACAAGCTGTTACACTCTACAACCGCTGTCCTCCCACCATCTACTTCATAGCCAAGTCATCCTGGCCAGTGTCCCTGCTGCCATAGCACTGTAGTCATCCACTTCAGAGCCTAATTGTGCTGGGGGAAGGGTGTGCCTTTAATATGCTCCCTCTGTTTCCCCACTTTAGGATCCAGGGCCAAGCTTAGTGAGCCAGCGCCAGTGCACCTTGAGCCCAATCACACTGTCACACTGTCCACCATCTGCTGCTGAAAGCCAGTCAGGTTTCAGCCAGTGATCTGTCCCCTCAGTGCTGGGTCCCTTCTGCCAGCCATGCTGCCTCTACCAGCCCCAGCCTGCATGCCTTGAGTCCCCTGCTCACAACATGTCCACCCTGTCAACTGATCTGAAGCTAGTTGACCCCCCCAGTGGCATTTCCCACATCCATATGCCTTCTGCAAGCTCCTCCAGGGCCAGGCCAGAAGGCCAGCCTCAACACTTACCAGTAGCCTGTCTAATTTGTGGACTTCTTGCTGCCCACAGCAAGGTGGGCTAGAGTTGCAGAGAATTCAAACCAAAACACTGCAGCAAAAACCTCATTTTTTATTTGTTTGTTTGTTTTTTGTCTCACATGATACAATTTTCATGCAGACAATTCTAGCTTACAAAGCATGATTTATTTAATAAGAATAAAGAAAATGGCTGCTGTCCTAGAGGCAGGATGGGGCTCCAAGGGAGGAAACACACAAGAAAATAGTGGAAATGGTGCCTTTTATGCACCATCTCAGGGAGGGGTTCACATGAGTCACCCCAAGTGCAGAGAGAAAGAAACTTATTCACAACAGGCAGTAATGTCTATTACCTCACCCAGACAGAGAAACAGAGGGTGAGACTTGTGGCTTCCTTCTCTCAATATTGTAGGATAGGCAGCTAGTTCAGGGTTATCAGCTTGAAAGAAACACCCCCCACTCCATCTAGGCTTTCCCTTCTGCCCACCTGTGACACTCACCCATCATCACCTGGAACCTGAGAGGGGGCGGTATTGCATTGCTGTGTAACCACTCCCCTCACAACCCCCAATGAACTCCATGATAGGGATGGGCTCACTCTCTTGGTCACGTGCTTCCATCACTCTGGCACTCCAGGACCTGATTGCTCTCTGTATTCCAGCAGATTCTGAGGACAGGAAGCCCCTAAGCATGGCCCCTGTATGTCTGTATTTCTCACCCTCTGTTCACAGTTTGGGTGGGACAATAATGATGTTCATTCTAAAAAACTTTGAATTGCTAATTTGTGTACTTTCAAGAGTTCCAGAAGATGAGGCCTAGCAGTAATGGAATGTAGGCAGAGAAGGCAAGGAAATGTGAATGTCTGCAGCCTTGTGTGTCCAAGCTGTTCACTGCATGTCTCTTAGCATAACTTATATTGCTGGGGAAGCTGGAACATAGGTATTCAGATTAACAGACAGACTTCTGGGTAATGACCAATTCTTCCTCTCAGGGTTTCCATTCACACTGGTTGTCACACGAACTTGGCATTTGTTAATTTCTAGTGTTCCCTGTTATCACCAAACTTGGATAATGAAGATTCCTTAATACACCCTAGACTTGTCTGGCATGATCTTGCTTGCACCCCACAACACCATCCTGGAGATAAGCTGAAAGCTGAAGCGCAGTTCCTTTGACAGTGACGCAGAGATGAGGTTAGTGTGAGCCACATCTCACTGTTTGATATGGCAACAGCTGTGAGGGATGAGTAATACGCTGATTCTATCCCTGTGTTCCCTCCCCAGAGGAAGGGACCAGGAAGGACATGGAAATAGGGGAACAGCCTGTTCTCATACTTTAAAGAATTATTTTATTAGGGACCAAGAGATACAGTATGACCCTAGCACCTTCATGTCTACAACTGCTCTCTGCTTGCTCCAGGGGAGGCAGGCTAAGCCAGCCTCTCCTTTCACTAAGCATGCCTGCTTGGCACTTAGGGACAACAACAGCTCAAGTAATGCCCACCGTGTCCCCCAGCCTAGCTCTGGTGGCTATAGGGCCAGGCCAGGTGTAAGAGCATCCACAAGCCTCTTACACACAGGCCCTCCAGCCCTGCTCATGCTTGAGGCCTAGGCTAGCTCTGAGGACCAGCCACGCACACAAAGCACCCCACCCCTGCTGCTCTGTTGGCTACATCAGGTCTAGGCTGGCTCTGCCAGGGAGCGTCCCACCCCTGCTCTCCATCTTGTTCCTCATCGTTAGGCTCACTCTCCCTGGGCACACAGTGCCTCTAGCATTCTCACCTTGGTTGCTGCAGCAGGCACAGGTCTTCTGGGCAGGAAAAACCTGTGCTTCTAGCCTGTCTGTCATGCCTCCCTCAGGCTACTCCTGGTGGCTCTGCCTGCCACTCCAGGGACAGATCTCATGACCACTGCTCTGACAAGCCTTGTCACTGCCAGGTCAGATGGGCCCTAATCTCAGTTTCTGTGCTCACAGCCAACTTGTCAAATGCCCCAGGGTAAGGAAGGCTCTGCCACCATCCCATCAACCCCACAAATGCCTGTAGCATGCCTGTCCATCTGCCCAGTCAGCAGCTCAAGACCAGGCTGACTCAGACAGCTACCTGCTCCCTCCAACAGCTGCTGACCAACCAGCCACTTCCGGACTGGGACTGCTAAGCTGCCGACCCCCTTGGTACTCTGTGCTTGTCCAGCCTGACAACATGCACACTCTTCCAAGGCCAGGACAGGCCATTTGGGCCAGCATGCATGCACTACATCATGCAGGCACTGCACTCTTTCTGAAACTACAGGCCTGCTTGCCCTGCTCCCACTGTGCCTCAAGCAGTCCTACCAATGCCTCTAGCAACAACCTGCCATGAGTCTGCTCCAGGGTCAGGCCAACACCCCAATGTCCCTGGTCAACTCACCCTTCACTACTTGCTGCAGGATCACATGCCCTTCCAGCATCCCCACACACCCAGCACAACTGCTGGACTGCTTGCTGTTGAAGAACCGGAAAGACTTGGATGGCAACCCCAGGCTCAAGCCCACCTGCCAGCCTCTCCAGGTCCACATGTGCTCAGCTAGCCATGTCCCCACCCCACCACTGCCACAGCATTCAATGCCATTTGCGGCACCACCAAGGCCTCAAACCCAGCACCCCCAGTGCATCTAGCCAGCTTGACTTGCCTTATGGTGGCTGCCCCAGGCACAGCTGGGGTCATCAAACCATTCGGCATCCCCAGCTGACTGTTGGCCCACCTGCTGATTCCCCTGTGCCAGTTGCACATCTAGCACTCCCACCCTGCCCATTGCTACAAGGACAGGCTGGCCATGCTGGCCACCCCGGAACACTAGCCTGTCCAGTCTGTGGCCATGGCTGCTGTTACAGAGCCAAGGCAGTTTGGGCAGTGCCCCCTCTGTCCTCAACCGCCAGCCCCCAATTCCAGGGCCAGACTAGCTCCTCACTAGCATTGGTAAATCCCTCATACCACTCCACCCCATATTCCCAGCAGGCCTGCAAGCTACTCCAGGGCCAGGCCAACTTAGCTGGTATCCAGTCCACTGCTCTAGGACCAGATTTGTTCTGAGGGTGCTCCACCAGCCTCCAACACACACTACATCTGCTCCAGAACATGGGCGAGGGGGCACAGCTGGAGTCCCCTCATGTTTAGCCTGCCCACTGCCCTGCCTGGTACACCAGGACCAGGCTGACTTGCACAGTGACATGGTATCTGCTTCAAACCACTCACGTGCCTGGCACTCCAGAGCCAGCTTTATTTGCCCTGCATCTACCATGCATCTCCCATGTCCACCACACTTGCTACTCCAGGGCCAAATTGTGGACTGGTTTCTTCCAGGCTTAGTTCCTGCTTCCAGCCACCCACACTGAGATCAGGGACTACAGTCTTCCAGGGACCAAGGTGCTTCCCTCCATCGTTTCCTACGCTCCCATTCTCCACCCACGTGCTGTCTGGACTATGGTCTTCCAGAGGTGGGTCCAGCTTCCCCATGGGTAGTTTTTTCTGTTCTTTTGCTGTCCCTGTGTGTGGATGGATGTGGAGATTCATCACGTTTAGGCTGTTGCTGCTTGCAAGATGAACTTCTGCTGCCATTTCTGTGTGACTTCATTCCACAGCCTGCTATGACCCAGTGCAGGATTTGACCCAGGACCAGCTGCACACTCCTCTCTGCTTGTCTCAGGCCATGCTGGTGGGCACCTGCACCTTCCTGGAGGTCACAGTACAGGGATAAGAGACCCTCCACTAAAGGCATGGCAGATTGATTGATTGGAAAGGCATGGTAACAGGGAGAGATCTTCCATCAGCTGGTTTATCAACTGTTTCAAAAACTCAGGGGTATTACAATGAAGCATTGATGCCATAAACCGCATCAACAAAGAGTGGTTGCAAAATGTCTTAGTCAGTTAAGAAAAAGAACAAATGATATGTTAAGATTCCAGAGAATCTTAATGGTGAAATAAGCAACATTAAACTGATCGACGGTAAAGACACTGAATCAAAGACACCAGCTTGGACCCAGCAAAACAGCCTCGTGGCTAAATCTAAGCCTGGCCTGCCTGGGATCCAATATGGGTGCCAGTTTGTGTGCCAGCAGTTCTATCACCTTCCAGCAGTAAGGAGTACCCTGGTTACAAATGAAGAAAAGCATTTCTCAATTCTCTTTGTATTCTTATTTGAACCTTTTAACACCTACAAAAACTCTGAATTTCAAATTTGACAATCTTCCGTTTCTTCCCACTTTAGATGTCTTGTGCTGTGGGAAACATACACCTTGTAAGCCAGGTTGCTCCCCCATCCAACCCCCCCACCCGGAGCCCAGGGAAGATGATCTGAGCTCTAAGGTGGCAAGGTTTTCGCAGATGCACAGGACCCTGCTTGGCTGTGCCTCTTACCTCCGCCTTCGTGAGCTGCTCTCGGAGTTTCTCCACTTCTTCCCGGAGATCCCGGATAATTCGTGCGTTGGGATCCTCATTCACCACAGCATGGTTCACGATGTGCTTGGCACGATCTGCGTACCGCAGGGTGGAGAGGGTTTCATCATAGTTATCAGCTGCCGGACTCACAGTCGCCACCATTGCTGTCTTGCTATTACCACCAAGACTGTCCTGCAGGAGGAGAAAAAACAATGAAGTTGAATTTTAAAGCAAGACATCATATGAGAAACCTGAAGTCAGAAATGGTGAGATCAATTCCCAACATCAAACACATACTTAACAACAACAACAACAACAACAAAAGGGGTCTAAAATGCAAGTTAAAATAAGGACTCAAATCCTATGATGTTTGCTCTCTAACCAGGCTCGTTCCTCAAAAACAGAAGAGCTTTGTTTTTTTAAAGTAAAGACAGGGAAGGAAAATACATCTATTTCAGCTTAACAAAAATTAATTCTAAGTCAATTTGTCCTTTTTTACAGCCAACACAAAACCTTCCGTGAGCAAAGTAGTCAAAACAAAATAAAAAAAGATGCCTTAAACGTCTCCAAAATCTTCCTTAGAGGGACTGAACAACCGTGATATGAGCTGACATGTGACAACGGAATCATTACCTACAACCTCCTCCATGTGCTGGGACATACCTGGGACTCTCTGGCAAGGCTAAATAATGACTACAAGCTATCAAGTACCAACTAGAATTTCCAAAACAAAAAATTATAGCTTACACAACAGACTCCATAGGTCAGACAAGACCATTCCACTGAAACCAAAAGGCACTGTGAAACAGCCTTCAGAACCATCTTCTAACAAAGAACTCCTTTCACTTGAGAACATTAAAACCACAAGATGTGAGTCAGAATCACAAAACTAGATCCGGGACATCAGGTCTACACCACTGTGACTGACCATACTAACAAGGCTGACTGGAACCCACTTGTGGCCGACGGCTCCATAGCTGGTACTCATCCCCAGTCTGGAAAGCGGACATGACTTTCTGAGCAGCATCTGATGAACAGCAGAGGCAATGGTGTGTCACGCGTGAGATCAGCAGAACAAGGCGGTCCTGCCTTGGGCACTTTCTCCTGCACTGCGGGGAACCAGCTGCCATGTGCACAGATAGCCCCAGGAACAGAGCCCAGGGAGTGAGTGTGGAAGCAGACCTATAAGGTATACCAGCAACCATGGAAATGAGCAGAACTCCCCATCCCACCATGTGGCTGAGATGACACATCACAGGAAAGACCTCAGCCAAAGCCACTTACTTAGGCCAATTGCTGCTTCCAACTGTTAAGTTTAGAGGGTAATTTTTTCTACAAAGCAACAGATAAACTACATACACTATTAAACCACGTGAAATAGAATTAACCAGAAGAGATTCAGTACCACCTTGAATAATCTCTAGACTAGACAGAATATTCCAAAAGGCTTTCTTTAGCTCATAAGAAAACTATTGTGGACAGCAATGAACTACAGAAAATTATTACTGCTGCAGAAAAAAATTTTCCAATTTCAATATATTCAAAATTTATAGCACTCTATGATTTATGCAATCTTTGCACATATACTTAGTTCTCAGCCATCTGTGAAGCTGATTATTAGCACCCCTATTTCACTGATGAGAAAACAGATTTATTCTGACAGAGGAGGTTAAACATCTTGCCTAAAAATCCAGAACTTAAAAGCTGTGAAAAATATTTTACGCAAGCAGGATTTGGCCCTCAAATCCAAAAGATTTCCCAACATGTACTTGGTAGCACACAGGAGCAAAATGCTTGAAGATTAGGCAGACTTGAGCCCTTGCCAAATTATTTCATCTCAGTATCAGAAACGAAGTAATTCCTGAAGTACTGACAACAAATCAACAAAATCAGACAAGCTGTCTGCTTTCTTATGCAATACTGAACGTTTGTTTTGCCATAACAGTTACATGGTTGGGCAAAATGTACTTTAATGCACCAAAAGGCAGGAAATACAATTAACTTGGGATTTAAAATCAGTGACTGCTTGCTTCACTCTTAACTTAAACTCATCCCAAACTGGTGGTGCCCCAGTTCTGGTAACTTCCAAAAAATATCACACGGACCCTTAAGCATGTTAATGGGATTCAAATGTAATACACAGATGACAGCAATTCAGTCCCACACTGCAACTCAGCTCGCTGGCAGCATCATGCTGCCCTTTCAGAACTACTGTTAGCCCACATGACAGCAAACACTACTGGGCAAAGAGGATTTGCAACAATAGTCACCCAAGGAGAAGAGCACATAGTGGTTGTGCCTCAGTTTATGCAGAGAAAAAGAAACCTGGCAAACAACAAATGCTTGACATTCCTAAAGGCCTTATCTGGGAGCAACAATACGCTTATATGAAAGCGGCCTCCTGCCATTAGTGAAAAGAAAATAGCAACAAAAGAACTGGCACTCACTCAAGGAGAAAGTATAAAAAGATTCTTGTTGACTCTTTAATTGGGCAAATTAGACGAGCTTTGTTTCAAATGCAGCAACTGTAATATTAAGTGAACATAGGAAAAAAAATTGTTTTCATTTTCTTCAACAAGGTTCTTGATTTTCATTCTTCAGTTATACGTTAGTCATTTAATAGCATGTTATTTAACTCCTTGGTGTTGTTAATTTCTTTTTTCTCCCGAATGTTGATTTTGTTTTGTGGCTCTTCATTGAAGGGGATGTATAGTAGCTGTGTAATGGAGACTGTCATATCTAGTAACATGTCATTTAACTTCATGGCATTGTAAATTTCTATTTTTCTTTCTATTGTTGATTTTGTATCATGACTTTTCATTTAAGGAGAAGTACAGTAGCTGTGAAATGGAGACTAACATCCAGATGTGAGGATGCAGTGTAGTATGCATTTCTGCTTCCAAAGATGGACTTACAATGAAACTGTTTACTATATCTTGACAATAGGATTCTGGACTCTCTGCCATTGTCCATGCCCTCAATGATGGACATATAAGTGAGTATAAAGAACTATATGTTAGTAATGATATAGAGGAACTGGGGGGGGGTGGAGATTGGGGAGGTGATAAGGGAATATGGAACTGTATCATAAAATGATAATAATAAAATGTAAAAAAAAAGAAAAAAAAGAAATTTGTTTTCAGAAATCAGAATTTTCTTTAAAGTTGAAAGAACTCTTTCAAGTCATCCAATCAAATTATTTCATTTTACAGACAAGAACCTGACAGCCAGGAATGCTGGCAGACTGGCTGAGAGCACAGCTGAAATGACCCACTTACTCAGCTCATCATCAAGCTTACCAGGGGACACACGAGTGAAAACACACCTTAAGAACTAAAGTGGGGATAAATATAGTGCGGTGTGGGAAAACAAAGGACATTCTTTAAGGCTGGGATGGGGTGGGTGGGTGCTTCCAGAGAGTGATGTCTGAGACTCAAAATGTATAAGTACTTCTCAGGTAAAAGGAAGCAGGGAAAAGGCAGGAGGGATGGGAGAAAATGCCCCAAAGGGAGTAAGAATAGTTCGGAAGTGAAACAGAACTCATCACTTAGCTGCAATGCATAACTCCTCACTCTTACCAGGTTAACAGTGTTATTGTAGCAAGCAGTTAGTACTGTTGTCCTAACTGTAGAAGACAGACTGGGATGAGAAGCCTGCGACCAACTCTGGCTGCCAGATGACAGGTGGGGGCAGCTGTCATGTGGGAAGCAGCAGTAAGAATGAAAAAGGACAGTGCAGTTCAAAGACAATCTAAGCACTCTTTCATTCCAGGAAGTTGCATGGCATTCAGCAGCCCTCTTACAAAGGCTACAAGCATCATAGACAGCCATGTGGTCACAGCAGACAGCACACCTGCATCCTCCATGGGAGTCCCTGCCTCTGGCTGTTGACCCTAGCTTCCTGTGATGCAGACCTTGGGAAGGAGCAGAGGCGATGGCTCAAGGCGATGGCTCAAGTCACTGGCTTCTTGCCATCCACATGGGAGACTGGGATTGAACTTTCAGCTTGATGCTGAACCAGCCAAAGCCTTCGTGTAAGCCCTGGAATACATTTTCCAAAAAGCATCTCTATTTACGCTCTTGCTGCTAACATCAAACATGACACAAGGAGCATCAGAGAAGGCTTTAAGGAAAAGCCACAAACTTGGGCAAACATTTAATTTTTTAAATGAAAAGATGAGGAAGTTGAAAGCATAATTAATGTAAACAAAAGATGAAGTAAGCTTCTTTAAACAAAAAAGTTTCAGCAACTGAAACAGAGGCTCAGCAAGCTAGCCCTCCACCCTACCAGCATGCTACCAGCAGCCCATATGGGCACTTGATTGTGTCCCGGTTGCTCCACTTCCAATCCGGCTCTTTGCATATGGCCTGAGAAAGCAATGGAGGACAGCCCAAGTCCTTAGAACCCTGCACCCACGTGGGGAGCCAGGAAGATGCTATGGGCTCCCAACTTTGGATTAGCTCAGCTCTGTCTGTTGCGGTCATTTGTAAAATGAACCAGCAGATAGAAAGCCTATCTCTCCCTCTATAAGATCTGCCTTTCAAATAGAAATAAGTAAATCTTTTTAAAAAATAAATAAATCTTTTAAAAAATAAAAGTTTTGAGTTTACAACTATTCATCCAGCTCAAATATTTTATTTTTTTATTGTTACCACTATTTTCCATGATATGCTTTTGTAGGTATTTCTCTCTTTTCCCTCCCTACCCATTCTGCTCCCCACCATTTCCCCCCATATTACTACAATAACATAGTCCCTCAGCTACAGTCACAATTCCAACATTTTGCTATATAAGTGAATCATGACATTGTAGGTGTAGGCAATAGTAAAAAAAATCTAGTATCAAATTGTCAAGATATATTTAGCCATTTAATTGGGCATTAGAGAAACCCTTTTATTTGAGAGATGCATACTGCCCTGCTTCTTCATTTCCTGGTACTGTAACTTCCATAATATAGTTCATGTATGACAACACGCACACACACACACACACACACGTTCACCTGTACATCTATTCTGATTTTGCATGAAGGCTGCTTTATATCAGAGAACATACCTTATTTGAGCATTTTTTCAGATGTCTATTAGCCATTTGAATTTGCTCTTGGAAAACGCCTGTTCATTTCCTTCGCCCAGTTTTTCACATGGTTGTCTGTTTTGCTGTCATTGAGTTTCTGAAGCTCTTTTTAAATCCTGGATATTAGTGCCCTATCTGTTGTACAGTATCCAAAGATTTTCTCCCTTTCTCTTGGTTGCCTCTTAGCTCTGTTGCTCATATCCTTCACTGTACAGAAGCTCTTAGTTTGATGTAGTCCCATTTGTTTATTTTGGCTTTGATCACCTGTGCTTTTAGTGACTTTTTTAAAGAAGTCTTTACCTAAACCTCTATCTTCTAAAATGCTTCCTACGTATTCCTGTAACCATTTGATGGTTTCTGGGTGCAGATTTAGGTCCTTGATCTACTTAGAGTTGATTCTTATATAATGTGTTTCCCACTTCTCTACATGTAGATATCCAACTGTCCCAACAACAACAAATATCCTATGTTTTCTTGTTATTTTCTCTCAAGGATTGGAAAAGTGAACCTGCTGAAAGAAAGTGATCTTCCACAAGCAGAGAATGGGCCAGGAAAGAACAGCTGAGCAGTGAGGGAAGGCCTGGCTTCCAGTCCTGATCCAGTCTTGATTCTTTCATCAGTCCTGTCTCCTCCTGACCTGACACAAGGCAATGCCACTAACCTTCTGAGAAGGAAGCAAGGGGATGGAGGTGGCCCTGGCTGCTCCTGATGCGGGTTCCAGTGCCAGGGCCCTGTTATCCACATCCATCACATTAACAGCAGTTATTTCCTACTGTTTGAGGTACATCAAAGCAGCAATACCAAACAACAAGGACACCGAAAAGTCGTTCTGTCAAATTGAGCATATCAGAAGAGTTCCACGTTTCTGCAGAAGACGCAAGGATTTCACCCAACTTTCTTCTCCAGAAAAGCAAGCGATGTTTCTAAGGTTCATCACAGACATATTGCTCGGCAGCAGAATGTTTTGCAACAACCTCTTACAATAGCATTTTAATTATCAAAATGTGTTTATCCTTTTGCTTCAAATGTCTAAGTTTATTGTATTTTGGTCAAAGCTTTTAATCTAGCACATTTTCCACTGTGGCAAATCTATCCAATTTTTAAATTTCATTTAGGCAGAATTCAGTGACACTGATGGAAAGAATGTTTTCACTTGACAAAGTTTATTCCAATGGTGAGGAGTTGGTTCAAAAAGTGGAGTTATTAGGAAATCTTTCAGAGGGTTCAGAAATCAGTACAAAATCCTGCTTCCCTTTGCAACGGCTGCCTCTAAACTTGCCATGAGCAGAGTCAGCAACTGCTACCCTGCTTGAGCTAGGGGGTCTGTATTTGGTTTATACTTCAACCCTTACCACCGAGACAAATAATCTACATGATTTTACTAGATTTATTTATTTGAAAGTCTGAGTTACACAGGGCAAAGGAGAGACAGGGAGAGGCATCTTCCATCCACGAGTCCACTCCCTAGATGGCCCCAACGGTTGAGAATAGACCATGCCAAAGCCAGGAGCTTCATCAAGGTCTCCTACATGGCTAGCAGGGGTCCAGGAATTTGAGCCATCCGCTGCTGCCTTCCCAGGGGGCTGAATCAGAAGTGGAGCAGCCAGGACATGAACCTGCACCCATATGGAATGCCAGTGCTACCAGCAGAGGATCGGCCTGTGACCACAGTGCCAGCTCCTGATAAATTGTCAATCAATGAGAAAATGATTGTTCACAAACTAAACAAAGCACATAAAATAATTTCCCCATTTTTTTCAAGTCCGACACTTGTTAATCCGTCACTAGAATCTATATCCCCTATTCTGCAGCCTGTCACCCACTCAGCATACCCCTCCTTCATAGATACAGGCACACGGAAGGCCACCACAGGTTTCTATTTCATCAGATTGATTGCAGGCCAGTACTATGCTGTCCCTGAGTGTATTTTCCTTCCTAGATTCTAAATCAGAGGGTAAGAAGCCCCTCACACTCATCTCCATTGCTCTCATTTATATTGAATCCGTATGTGTGCTCTGCTCTGAATCCTTTAACAAAAACCCTGAAGAAGCTGAGGCAGCTTGAACCACAGCTTGGCATGCCTGTGTCCCATCTCAGAGTGCCTGATTCAAGTTCCACTACTCTGCTTCCAATCTAGTTACCTGCTACTGCACCGGCGAGGCCTCAGATGCTGATCAGTCACTCACACAGGAGACCCAGATGGAGTCCTGGCTCCTGGCTGTGATCTATCCCTGCCCCACTGCTAGAGACACTCGGTAAGTGAACCAGGGCACGGAAGATATCTCTGTCTCTCTCTCAATTTCTCTCCCTCTCTTTCAAATAAATAAATAAATCTGATTGAAAAAGAAGCTGAAGCAAATTCAAAATGACTATAAGTTAAGGCAAACACAAAACAAGGTCCAAGATGTCTGGTCAGTCCAACAGAAGGAACCTAGGATGGAGCTATCCAGCAGTGTGCATCACACAGTGGGCACTCATTCCCACGGTTCACCCAGCTGTCACCATGAGCAGAGGGTCCTTCTATTTCCCCAAAGCTCCAAGATGAACCATGTGAAACAGCGGGGGCCCAACAGCCATACTTCATCCAGTTTCCAGGGGTGCTAGAATGCTGATTACTAGGAAGAAATTTATGTTTAATCCACTGAAGTTGCTGCAGGCCTACCTTAAATACATAAATCATTTTCTAAGGATCTCATAATTACACATTTGAACACTGACATCGGAAATAATATAGAACTAACAGTGCAATCTCCTTTTCTATAGATCGCAGTATGTCAGGATAAAAAAAGAAATGGAAAAGAAAAAGGGAAAAAAACTTACTTTAAGCAGCCATGTGAGGACGGAGTCACGATAAGGAACAAACTTATTCTTGTTCTTGCCAGCACTCTGATCTGCGAGGGCGGAGATAACCAGACCGAGGGTCGTGAGCGACCTGCGTGGTGCAACAAGCCGGAACAGTTATACCAAAGGGAACATGCCAAACGTCACATGCTCACAGAAAGTCTGAGCATCAGGAGGCTGTGTACCTGCACACAAGCAACTGTGTGGGCTGAACCACGCTGCGGTTCAGTTCAGAAAGGCACAAACTCTAAAGAGCTGCTGTCCCTCGAGTTTTCTGAAGCAACGAAAATGCTCAGCCTAACTGTGTATTTCATTTGAGTAAATAGAAATGTAAGCTATAAATCTTCAGGTAAAAAGATACAAATACCACATGTCTTCAAGAAAGGAAATACAAACACAATAACAAAAAAGGTCAGTGAGGGGCTGGCACCATGGCAGAGTAGCTTAAGCCTCCACCTGCTGTGCCAGTATCCCAAGTGGGTACCAGTCTGATTCCTGAATGCTCTACTTCTAACACAGCTCCCACTAATGTGTCTGGGAAAGCAGACAATGATAGCCCAAATTCTTTGGCTCCTCAACCCACTCGGGAGACCTGGAAAAGCTCTAGGCTCATGGCTTCAGATTCCCCTACCTCCGGCTATTGCTGCCATTTAGGAAGTGAACCAGCGAATGGTAGATTTTCTTTCTCTGTGTATACCTGCCTTTCAAATAAAAATGAGTCTTCTAAAAAAAATCCATGAGGCAAGAAACAAAACAAAAACCTGTTTTAGCAATAGCACAACATCTGGATAGCAGTTACCCATTGCTGTGTTTCCAGCCATGAGCACAAAAAAGACCTGGCAGTTCAGCTCGAGAAAGACACTAAAACCTGATGAAGGAAACAGTGAACAGATGTTTATCTCATAAGGCCTAGCTTCTCGGACCTGGACAACGCAATAGCAATTCTGATACTCCCAGTATACATGCTGTTGGCTCAGATGGCAACACTCAGGTCAAGGTCAACAGTTAAGAATTGGAGATGCCAATTACCTTTGTTCTTTTATACAGCTTGGACCAGTGGTTTTCAAATGGGGGTGAGCACATGGATGCCCTTGCTAAAGCCTGGGTTGTCACAGCAGAGTGTGAGGGGAGAGGCAACGGGTGCTACTGCCATCTAGTGGACAGATGCCAGGGATGCTGCTAAACATTCCACAATGCACAAGATCCACTTCTCTTTGAGGACAAAGCACCCAGAATGTCAACAGGGCACTGCTGAGACACAACCTAAAAAGGGCTCAGGTGCATAAAAAATACCAGAAAGAAAAACCCAAACTATGAGGATGTACTTAAATCACTCCAGAATCTTGTTTGTTTATTTATTTATTTATTTATTTATTTATTTATTTATTTATTTTTGGTTCCCCTATCTGGCGATTCAGTCAACAAAGTGGTTAAAAAAAAAAAAAAAGCAGCTCTGGAAAACTCACTTGTTGATGTTGCTCCCTTCCTTCAGCCTGTCGCCGGCAGCTCCGGTTTTTGTTGCTCGTTCACTACCAGCCAAGTCCACCAAGCTCAGCTTGCCCACTTTCTCCCCAGATGTCTACCAAAAAGATTGGATAAACACTAGTCACATAGTGAAAGAACTCAGAACTCAGACTGCTTCAGCTGCGTGTGTGACTGCATCTCAAGGGCATCTTGTACTGGTAGGAAGCACTGTAACACTGCACTGTGGCTGGTCAATGCTCACGGCATGTACACAGCCCCACCAATCCCAGCAGAGCGAAGTGAATTACCTTATAGAAAACAGTGCCCCCAAAATGGGACACTCTGAAGACAGCTAATAAAACAGAGATATACACAAAACATGTATGATACACATTTGTATGACTTGAAACTACACTTAAAACCTCAAATATTTACAAATTATCCTGAGGCAAAATCCTTATAATTCTTACTAATACAGAAAAACATGAATCTTTCACACGACAAAAGAACTCCTCAAGACACATTGTACTATTCATAAATCCTTTTGTTTCACAATTACATGCATTACACTTATATCTTTTTCTAGCTACAAAATATTGTGTATACATATATATATACACACACTTGTATTTTCCTTTATCAAAAACAGTCCATTATCAACCCACAAACATATGTGTAACAAATTTTTACTCTTCAGCAATACAAGAAATAAAGGAAATGAATGCCAGTGGGACTGTTCTTAAAACTTCCCTTTAAAATACATGAGTATACATTTGCAGAAAATAACATTGCTAACAAAAGGGTACTCAATTTCACAAATCAAAAATACTTTTGGCTTAAAAAATAAAAAGGAAGCCTTCAATATGTTTTTTTTTTCTTTTATGTTGAAAGGAAATAGGAAACAAAGCACTTCTGTTGTTGTTATTCTTGCTGTGATGCTGAACAAGAAAAAGGTTTTCAGCATATGTAACTCCTGCCAAACACGGCACTTTGCAGAGCAATTATTTCAACTTCTGGTATTTGAAACTAATACGTAATAAAATATGTAAAACCTCACATCAAAGAACAAAACAATAACAGATGAGTCAACAGAGACATTGTCAATATGGCACAATTATACAAATGAGTTCACTTATTTCTCACAAGATTTCAAATCAAAAACCCAAAACTTGGGGGCCTAGTGGCTGAAGTCCTCGCCTTGCACATGCCAGGATCCTTTATGTGCACCGGTTCTATTCTGGCAGCCCCGCTTCCAATCCAGCTCCCTGCTTGTGGCCTGGGAAAGCAGAAGAGGAAGGCCCAAGGCCTTGGAATCCTGCATCCACATGGGAGACCTCGAAAAGGCTCTTGCCTTTGGATTGGCACAGTTCCGGTGGTTGGGGCCAGCCGGGGAGTAAATCAGAGGACAAAAGATCTTTCTGTCTCTCCTCTCTGAATATCTTACTTTCCAATCAAAATAAATTAAAAAAAAAAAAAAAACCTTACTCAACAAACTCTAGTTATTTTATAGCACAACCTTCCAGTGCAAACTAATCCCTCCAACACTGGCCCTTCAGTAGAGGGTAACACTGCAAAGAGGTGTGCACTCAGTCAACTGGAACATTAACCTTAGCTCGTGCCCTTAGGCACCAATTGAAAGCTCAAACACCAGGGGTCTCCAGCCAGCCTCCCTCTGCTCCACCACCATTCAGCTAGAGGGTGGGGAACTAGACTCTGCCTCTGTCAGATGCCTCTGTGGCCAGGCTGCCCGTGTGACACAGGCTCTGCCAGTCAGCTCCTTCTGCCTGGAAAGCAGAAGTAAAGCCAAAGCCACTCCCCGCCTCCCTCGGCTTTTAGTCCCTTCGGTCCAGTGCAAACAAGGCACTGCCCGCTGGAGGCCCTAGCACCTTCTCTGTTTCCCAGGGAGCTGAGGCCACTGTGTGGACAAACGTAACGTCTTTATTTCTTCTGACCTTGGCAATAGGGTGGCACCTTGAACTCCTGGCTCTAGTGGGGTCCTCAGAGAGCTTGGAGGCTGTTCGCAGAGGTCCAGACATAGAGCTGTGATCATCCCACTGTCTGCAGCCGGGCCCTGCCTGCTCACGGAGAGGGACTTCTGTTTCTTGTTCAAGTCCTAACTGACACAAGTGCCTAGGACCCTGTTCACTCATCAAATATCTGAAGACAGACAAGCCCCGATGTACATTAGATACAGAAACAGAGGAAAGGCATGACACCTACCCCGGACTTAACGTCGTATAGAGTATGCGTGAGGGTGATTTTGAAGACTGCGTGGGACCGGCTGCTCTCCTCGTTCATGTTGGTGGCAGCAACTGTGCGAGACTTGTTACCCTCAGACATCAAAGACTCGATATCCTAGAAGGAGATAAGTCACAGACACTCGTCTCCACATCCAGGTGTAAGCATGGAAACTCTGCTACCCTACAGAATGCGGTACAAACTTCACTACTTAGTCAACAATGTTTGGAGTTTCCATTTGGCTTTTTCAATGAATACTAAAACCCACAGAGTACAACAGCTAACACAGTCTCTGAAAACTCAGAGACTATTTTCTGTAAGTACAGACCAAAGAGGCAAGCGTCAACTCAAAATTGGAAAAATTTAGAACAGGGATGCGCAATGTGCTGTAAGTAGGATGACCATTGTGCTGTAGATGGGTACAAAGTCTCTGAGACACCAGCATCCCCTATGGGCACCAATTCATGTTCCAGCTGCTCCACTTCCAAGGCAGCTCCCTGCTACTGACCTGGACAAAGCAGAAGATGGCCCAAGTGCCTGACACCTACAGGGAGACCCAGGTGAAGCTCCTGGCTGCCTGACCCGACGTTGGCTACTTCAGCCAGCAAGGAAAGGAACCAGTAAATGCAAGATCTCTTTCTCTCTCTTTTTCAAACTAAACAACTATATTAATTTTTTTTTAAAGTTCAGAAGTTACACTTTGAGTCACACAGATAGATACATATGACATGCTAACCCTCACCTAATTTGGAAATTGTTTAAAATTTCATTTAGGTCACAGACTCAATGCAAATGTGCCATTAAAACAAATCGTACTATGCACAATAACTTGTAACCTCTTCACTCAACATGTATCACCAACTTTGTGTTTATCTTACCAGACCTGCTTTGGGTGTGGATATTTGTATGTGTTTTGAGCACAGATCTTCCATGTATTGGTTCACTCCCCAAACACACACAACAGCTGGAGGTGCACTAAGCTAAAACAAGAATAGTATTTCAGGTCTCCCACATGGGTGACAGAGACCCAGGTGTTTGGGCAATCCCTGCTGCTTCCCAAGGTACGTGCTCACTATGGAATGTAGGAGTCCCAGCAGCACACCAACCACTATGCCAAGTGCCCACTCATTTTAAAAATGAGATCAAAAGACTAATTTTCTGTATATATTTATTACTTGCTACATCTGATAAAAGAAAAAAAGGGGGAAGAAGAGTGAGACAGAGGGAAAGACATGTAACAAAAATCATAGATTTTCATTTTCTAAAATGCTTTAAGTTCTATGATAGTCACTTTTGCACTTCACTACTGAGTTACGATATCATCTACCTCACAAGGATTTTAACAAGGAACAAGCAAGATAATATATAAAAGACAGCAAGTTTTCTCCTATTACCCAGTTCCTTCTTTCCAATGAAAAGTACCCCACCTTTGGCTGAGCTGAAAGACTACATTTCCCACATGCACTTGCAGTTCAGTCTTGCCACATGGTGCCCAAGATGTCAAATCCAGCATAGGCCATATGGAACTCTCCTTTAGGGACTAAATAGACATGCTATCCCATCGTCTCTACAAGACATCCTGAACCATGAGGATGGGGCATAAGGGTGTCTCTCACTGCAAAACTACAAAAGCAACCTGATAGCCACTCTGTCACCCAACCCCAGAACATCCACCCCCTAGGACTTCCATTAATGAGAAGTCTTGTGCAAATTACCATCCGTTCACTTGTTCAAGTGTATACTGAGCACGAATCACATGTCAGGGCTCCCCAGACACAAGAAACACTGGGACAAAACAGACCACATTCCATTCTTCAAAACCTTTCAGTATTCTATACGGTTTTAATGTTATCTGCAGCAGAACATAACCCCAACATGTCTACGTACATGAGAGCAAAAGCACTCTATTTTCCATATAAATATGAAAAAAATAGTATTTCTGGAAAATTCAAACATAATAAAAAGCCTTAAAGTAAAAAGCATGAACCAGTTAAAAAAAAAAGTTGCAAGTGGGCACCCAGATGGGTACAGAACATCACAAGGTAAATTCACAGTTATCTAGATTGATTCCAAGCCTATTTAGTCTGACAATCCTGATACTTGGTGGAAAAGCTTCCTCCTACTTAGCTTGCATTTGCTCACTGGTCTCCAGCTTGTTATCTCATTTTTAAGATTTTCATGAAAAGTGGTTTAAAAGTGATGCCAGTGTAAAATTGTTTTAAAATAACAAATGAAACAAATGAAAACACTGTAGTTTACTCAGTTTAAGTAGCTCCCATAAAGGACATGGTTACCTTGTAGCTTGTGACAGCCAGTTTAGAAAGTCCATCAACATAGGGTCCCAACACACTATGCTCTCTGACTTTCAATGTCTGACGGCTCCTGTAATGAAAAACAACCAATTTTAAAAACAATATCCTGTTTTTTTAAAAAAAGGACTCAACTACACCCCATAAAAACGTTATGTTGTATTCAAAAGAAACCCTGGAATCAATAAAACCAACTGAATTGATCCTAGAAGGATTTAAACCATATTTTAAAATCTTCACTGGGAAGAAAGCCTTCATAATGTGGCAAAATATCACATCCCTCAAAAGGGTACACTGTGGGATGTCTATTTACAACACAAAGAATGCAGAGTCATAGAAACATGAACAATCTACTTGTCATATCACAGAATGCGGTACAAAGAGCAGAAACGCAACAAATGTTAACTATGCAAGAAAGGAAAAATACAGACCAATCTCAATCATGAATAAAGACAGACATAAAACAACAAACTGAATCTAATAATGAGTTAAAACCAAACCAGGCTTACCACAGGGTTGTTAGGGTGTTTCAACATTGGGGAAAAAAAAGACTCTGACACTTCACTTTAAGAGGTGCAGAAGCAAGGATCCATATGATTATTTTGACAAATACATGAAAAACTCATGCAACAACATTAAAACTAAATGCTCAAGGCTTTTAAAAATAAATAAATTTCTTAGCAAACAAGTAGTCTATTGAGTAAATCACAGCTGCCAATACAAAACTCCACAGCACCCTTAAAACAAAAACATTCAGAACACTATGGAGATGTTAGTTCAAGGCCTCAAAATTAGCTACAAGTTCTCGAGATCTAGTGCACAGAATCCTGACCACAGTCAATAATATAATGTATATATCAAAATTGCTGAGAATAGGCTTGAAATGTTTACAACAAAAGCACACACCGGAACATTCACTTGATTTAATCATTCCCCAATGTAAGTCTGCACAGGTCAAATATACTGGGGCCTGGCACGTGGCCTCGTAGTTAAAGTTCTCGCTTTGCACACGCCCAGGATCCCAAGTGGGTGCTAGTAAATGTCCTGGCAGCTAGTAAGTGTTGTGGAAGCACAGCTCTGACTACTGCAACCACTTGAGAAATAAATCATCAGGAGGAAGATCTTCCTCTCTGTATATCTGACTTCCCATTAAAAATAAACCTTTTAAGAAAACATTGTACTCCATAAACAACTTATTTGCCAATTAAGAATAATTTTTTACACAATAGAATCTGATAGCAATGAGATTCTGCATTTATCCATATTTTCCACCATGAATGCGTATGCACTTTACAGTATAAAAAAAATCTTGATTTTAAGATTTTTAATTTTTATTGGAAAGTCAGATATACAGAGAGAGGGGAGACAGAGATCTCCCGTCTGTTCACTAACTCCCCAAGAGGCTGCAATGGCCGGAGCTGTGCCAATTCGAAGCCAGGAGCCTCCTCCAGGTCTCCCACACAGGTACAGGGTCCCAAGGCTTTGGGCCATCCTAGACTGCTTTCCCAGGCTACAAGCAGAGAGCATGAGGGAAGTGGGGTCACCAGGATTAGAACCGGTGCCCATATGGAATCCCAGTGCATGTGAGGCAAGGACTTTAGCCATTAGATTAATGCGCTGGGCCCTGGCTTTTTTTTTAAATTAATTAATTAATTAATTTAAAATAATGAGTTATAATGCTTAAAATTCTTAGGCAGTCCCTCGATAGCTGTGAAAATAAGACACCACTCCTCAGCTTGACATGCACGCTCCTTTCTAATCTGTTCTTATGCACTTGTCTCAACTTATCACCTTCCCAGAATTGATTTGCATACACCCATTCTTAAATACACCTGGACTCCATAAGGGCTTGAACAATGTTTTAGTAACTGGGGTGTCTGCAACTCCTAGCTGGGCAAATCAATAAATGAATAAACAAGGTTAACAAAATGAAAACAGATTCTAAATATGCTAGCTTACATGATTTGGAGAGAAAGTCTTGTAACAAAAAAAGGGGGAGGGGAGGAAGAAATGGTCAAGAATATGCAACATAAACAGCAAGTACAGAAACTGTAACCACACCTAACTGCCTTCACCCACTATAAGGAAAGCAAACTGGTATACGACGGATGAGATCATATGAATAGCTATAGAACAGTCTTTCACAGAAGGAACAAAGGTAGGGTGTGAGGAAATGATTCTCAAATCTAAGATGTTTACTGTCCTCCAGCACACTATCACAATCTTTTCTAATGATCTGTATCGTACAGAATGTAGGATCAAGCATAAAAACCATAACTATAGATGAAATACATACACTGAACAAGTGGCCGGTGTTGTGTTATAGCAAGTGAAATCACACCTGCAATGCCAGCATCCCATGCGGGCACCATGTTGTACCTGTCTGCTCCTCTTCAAATCCAGCCACCTGAGAATGGCCTGGGGAAAGCAGCAGAAGACTGCTCTGCTATCCATGTGGGAGACCTGTAAGAAGCTCCTGGCTTCAGCCTAGTCCCAGCCATTTGGAGACTAAACCACCAAATGGAAGCTCTGTCTCACCTCTCTCTGTAATCTTCACTTTCAAATTTAAAAAACCATATATTTTAAAAATGAAATGTGTATATATATACATATATATACATATACACACATATATATACATATATATCAAACATTTGCCTTATCTCTCACCTCTCAACCGCAAAACATATTCTATTACTTCTTGTCTTTTATTTTCTCCCTTTTTCTGAAAGACAATGCACACTACATTATCTCCCAAATGAAACAATGTAACTATAACTCACAAGGCAGATGCCTTGTGAAATTTAATTCTAATAGATTTAGTACATGAATGGAAAAATGTTCTCTCAACCTACAGCTAAAACAAGACTACACTTGAGGTTTCAATCCATTTTTCTCCAACTTCCTCACTTTCCGGAAGGAGGAAACAACAACAGCTACCACTTACTGAGTGCTTCCTGTACATCAGTCAAAGTTCTAAGATCTCAGAAGCACCATCCCAAGCTGTCTCCACAGTAGTCCTCTGAGATCCTGTGTCCTAACAGAATTCACCTCCACACAAGTTAGGCCTGGGCAGGGTAAGGAATTTGCAAGACAGGTGACAAGACGTATAGACACAGAGTTAGATGAATCCAAAGCTCACACTGTGAATTACTAATCTATATACAAGACAAACAATGAATTACTAAAGGTTATGAATGGCTGTAGGTAGTAAATTTCAAGCAATCCCACACAGCACTGTGGAACTCAAAACTCAAGAATAAACAGGTACGCAGTCAGTTAAGAATTTCTGGAATGAGTAAGTCTGGGCTGGAGCTCAAAGACCTTCGGAGGTCAAAGTGCAAGAGAAGGCGTTCAAGGCAGAGCAACAGCACACTATCACAATCTTTTCTAATGATCTATATCGTACAGAATGTAGGATCAAGCATAAAAACCATAACTATAGATGAAATACATACACTGAACAAGTGGCCGGTGTTGTGTTATAGCAAGTGAAATCACACCTGCAATGCCAGCATCCCATGCGGGCACCATGTTGTACCTGTCAGCTCCTCTTCAAATCCAGCCACCTGAGAATGGCCTGGGGAAAGCAGCAGAAGACTGCTCTGCTATCCATGTGGGAGACCTGTAAGAAGCTCCTGGCTTCAGCCTAGTCCCAGCCATTTGGAGACTAAACCACCAAATGGAAGCTCTGTCTCACCTCTCTCTGTAATCTTCACTTTTAAATTTAAAAAACCATATATTTTAAAAATGAAATGTGTATATATATACATATATATATGTTGGGGGCACTGACCATTTCCTGCCCTGTGATTGGCCCTTTGCCCTGATTGGTGTGCCTTGGTTCTCTTTAAGTTGATTGGTCAAGTTTGACAGTTAAGCGGGGGGCTTGGCGGGGGAGGGGCTGGAGCGTAACGGATATTACGGACAACGGTCACGACGGGACGGAGGAGCAGAATAAAAAGCGCCTTGGAGACTCTCTCAAGTGTCGGGTGATTTCTTCCGCGGGACGGGAGGACCCCTGATATTTGGTGCCGTGACTCGGATAGAATATACCTGGTGCTGTGACTCGGATAGAAGATAACTGGCGCTGTGAATCGATAGAAGTCAGCTGGTGAACGCCAGGAAGGTAAGCTGAGCAGATCGCTCAGGGAGCCGCTTAGAGCGGGGAATTAGTTTACAACTGAGCTTTTTGCTCAGGAAGCCGCAGCAGCGGGGGGCCCATTTAAGCTGAGGTTTCAGGTTACCTCAGGGAGCCGCTGATAGCAGCGGGGACGTGCACGTCAAGTTCGCGGATTAGCGACGAGCCAAGTTCGCAGGGTAGCGACGAGTCGAGTTAGTCAAGTTCGCGGTAGCGACGAGTTAGTCAGTTCGCGGTAGCGACGAGTCGAGTTAGTCAAGTTTGCAGGTAGCGACCATTAAAGCTGGGTTTGCCGCCATTCAGGATCGCGGTTTGCCGCCATTCACGATTGCGGTTTACCGCCATTCACGATTGCGGTTTACCGCCATTCACGATCGTGGTTTGCCGCCATTCACGATTGTGGTTTGCCGCCATTACGATCGGTTTCCGCCATTCACGATCGCGTTTACCGCCATTCACGATCGTGGTTTACCGCCATTCACGATCGCAGTTTACCGCCATTCAGGATTGCGATCTAGCGCCCATTCAAGTTCGCGGTTAACGATCAATTTCGCCATTTGACAATCGGTCAAGTTTGCAGGTTAGCGACGATCAGAGATGTTAAAAATATGGCCAATTTAACTTTTTCAGCGCACATGCAGCCTTTATTGCAGAAACTGCTGACGGTACTGTTGTTTTTGCAAACTATGCAGAGGATCACTCCATGGTTTCTGGAGGAGGGCCTTTTGATCCTGCCACAATGGGAGCACTTAGGCAGAGACTTAGCTAAGGCAGAACACCAGGAGCCCCTTCCTCCAGGAACAGTCAGGATCTGGACATTGATTAAGTCTTGCCTGACTGATGGCACTGATAAATTCAGAGGACGTATACAGGAAGGTGAGAAAGTCTTATGGAAACGCAAAAAAAAAAAAAAAAAAAATCAGAATGGATGGTTTGAAGATCCTTAATGATTTCCAGCAGGTATTGGGGTATACTAATTGGATCCAACCATATTTTTGTATTATTAGACAATGCCAAAATTGTGTCCCGTTTTTATCCCAGCCTTACTTTGGGGTTAATCCCCGTGGTCTTATGCCTAATCATATATGGCAGATGGATGTTACCCATGTTCCCAGTTTTGGTCACCTTTCTTTTGTTCATGTCTCTATCAGTACCTGCTCTGGGGTTCTTTATGCCTCAGCTCATACAGAGGAAAAGGTTCAAGATGTTATATCTCACTGCCTTCAGGCTTTTGCAGCCTGGGGAGTCCCCCAGTGTTATAAGACTGATAATGGACCTGCCTATGCAGCCAAAGCATTTGATAAGTTTTGTTCTGAATTTGCAATTAAACACTCTACTGGCATCCCATATAATCCCACAGGCCAGGCTGTGGTAGAGCGTGCCCATGCAACTCTCAAAGCATTATTAATAAAACAAAAAGGGGGAGTAGGAGCCACCCTATATCCCAAAAGTCCTAAACATCAATTGGCTTTAGTTACTTATATTTTTAACTTTTTGATTCTGGATTTGGATGGCCATTCTGCTGCCGAACGCCACACTGTTGGCGCAGGCCCCTGCAAAGATTGGGTGATGTGGAAGGATGTTTTAACAAAACAATGGATGGGCCCGCATCCTGTCTTACGACGGACGCGAGGAGCGGTTTGTGTTTTTCCGCAGGATTCTGATGGACCGGTGTGGGTGCCAGAACGTTTGACGCGAGTGATAAGAAAGCCGGAGCAAGATGAACCTGTGGACGTGGTGGATGCTGACCAGCCTGATGTTCATTCAGATACCGAGAGGAGACAACCAGAATCTCCAGCTAAAACTGCACCATAAAAGGTGTGCAGCAAATATTGACTCGCTGTCTAGGGCCTTGGAAATGGCCCCCAGAATGGACTGCTGTCAAAGTACTGTGACTCCTAGAAGAGTAGCACCTGATCTTGCTGTGACCAATTTATTTCCTACCTGTTCAAATTGTGCCTTTGTGGGGTATAACTAAACATATGGTAACCCTGTTCAATCTGTTTCTGCTCAGTCTTGGAATGTCTGGGTACTTTGCACTAATAGGGGTGGGTGTTCAGATATATCAGCTTTTGCATTTATTGATAAGGTAGTGATAAGAAATTGTAATTATAGTAGTAATAGTTCTAGAATATGGGAAGAAAATGTTAAAGTTAATTGCAGTTGTTATGTTATCTATAATGCTATTTATGTATGTGTACAAGCTCCATTTATGTTTATTGTTTCCATGAGTGCTAATGTTACCCTTTTGAATTGCTCTGTAGTTAAGTGAGCCCTTAACCAGTGTTGGAATGGTTCTGGCACTGTGGTGCTGGTATGCATTCCACAACTTATTTCCATCATATGGGGATCTCTTGTGTGCTTAGTCTACCTGGAATGTGTGTCACTCCCTCTATTGTCACCAATGGTTCCCGAGCACTGAATTTGTCCAGAGAATTATCCGCTATGCTATCCCCTAGTGGAAGCTGGTCCATACGATTCGATAATTTGACATAGGAACTAAGATCCCAAATTATAGCCATAAATAGCATAAAAGTAGAGATTGCCACAGTAAAGCAATGGACAAATTGCATACTAAAGGATCTTTCCTTTGCACACCAATGGGCTGGTATAGTAGCCCTGGGCCTTATATCATTCTTTGGGGTCTGTGGATGCTTCATCCTTGAGCACAGCGTCAGCAGCAGTAACAGCAGCTGCTAGTGCAAGCTGTGCTTGCCCTTCACAGCAGATAATCCCTAAAAGTCTGGCTAGGCATGCTGGACCGGTAGCCAGAGACGGGTAAGTATCCGATATGGCTTCACCAACCTAAGACAGGTGCCACGTTCCTAGCCACGTGGTTAGCCCATGATGGGTAAGGGGAGCCTGAACTCGGAACACCTAAGACAGGCACGGTCCCTTGCTTAATAAAACAAGAAGGGGGAGCTGTTGGGGGCACTGACCATTTCCTGCCCTGTGATTGGCCCTTTGCCCTGATTGGTGTGCCTTGGTTCTCTTTAAGTTGATTGGTCAAGTTTGACAGTTAAGCGGGGGGCTTGGCGGGGGAGGGGCTGGAGCGTAACGGATATAACGGTCATAACGGTCAACGGACAACGGTCACGACGGGACGGAGGAGCAGAATAAAAGCGCCTTGGAGACTCTCTCAAGTGTCGGGTGATTTCTTCCGCGGGACGGGAGGACCCCCGATATTTGGTACCGTGACTCGGATAGAATATATATACATATACACACATATATATACATATATATCAAACATTTGCCTTATCTCTCACCTCTCAACCGCAAAACATATTCTATTACTTCTTGTCTTTTATTTTCTCCCTTTTTCTGAAAGACAATGCACACTACATTATCTCCCAAATGAAACAATGTAACTATAACTCACAAGGCAGATGCCTTGTGAAATTTAATTCTAATAGATTTAGTACATGAATGGAAAAATGTTCTCTCAACCTACAGCTAAAACAAGACTACACTTGAGGTTTCAATCCATTTTTCTCCAACTTCCTCACTTTCCGGAAGGAGGAAACAACAACAGCTACCACTTACTGAGTGCTTCCTGTACATCAGTCAAAGTTCTAAGATCTCAGAAGCACCATCCCAAGCTGTCTCCACAGTAGTCCTCTGAGATCCTGTGTCCTAACAGAATTCACCTCCACACAAGTTAGGCCTGGGCAGGGTAAGGAATTTGCAAGACAGGTGACAAGACGTATAGACACAGAGTTAGATGAATCCAAAGCTCACACTGTGAATTACTAATCTATATACAAGACAAACAATGAATTACTAAAGGTTATGAATGGCTGTAGGTAGTAAATTTCAAGCAATCCCACACAGCACTGTGGAACTCAAAACTCAAGAATAAACAGGTACGCAGTCAGTTAAGAATTTCTGGAATGAGTAAGTCTGGGCTGGAGCTCAAAGACCTTCGGAGGTCAAAGTGCAAGAGAAGGCGTTCAAGGCAGAGCAAGAAAATGCAGAGGCTGGGGAGTAAGCAAGATGTAAATTCCTGCCTATCACCTACCCACCTCTGACCTCCAATTCCATCCGACCTCTATGCACTCTCTCTCCACCCACTCTGAACTGATGGATCATTCACCAAACAGGTGATTTCTTCACATCTCTATGCTTCAGTATAAGCTTTTCCCCATGCCTGAGTAGTTCTCACCTCACATCTCAGCAGACAAACATTTACTCAGCACAAAATTCATCCAGCCCCATCTGTGGACTCTTCCCTTCTTGGAGCAAAGTCTTCATTCTTCCTCTGCTCTCCATTAGCCTCCTTACAAGCTGCAAGCACACTAACACTGCCTTACAATTACCTGTTTACAAAACTCTCATTCTGTCCACACTGTAAGTCCTTTCTCTATGATTTGTTTGGTGCCCGCGGCATATGCTAATACTCAACCAATTTGGTTACATAAACTTTAGGTAGAAACACTAAGCGCTGATTCAGTCACCCTGTGAAGGCCTGAATATCATTATCTATGTCCAAAAATAATAATCATGGACCACGAACACCAGTGGCCCTGGCAAGCTAAGGCTGCTTTCTCCTGATGGAGCAGCACCATGCTCACTGACTCCAAGATCACCTTCCCTGGATCATCTTCCTCATCCAAACAGAATTCAATGTCTCCTGCTGTCCAAGGCACTTGCTATAAGCCTCTGCTTATCTGGCTCCTCAAGCTCCCAGATGCTATTTTGACAACAGCAAGCCCCAGACAGTGGTCATTATCTCCGCCTCTCTCTCTAAATCCACACTTCTTTAAATTCTGAACTTGGAGAACTCTACACCTAAAGGGCTTCCTTGCCTGCCTTCTGCTTCTCTTTAACTCCAGCCATGGCAACACAAGTCCCAAGACTACCTCAGAAGCTTTCAACTACTTCTGAGCCACTTCTTTTTTAAAGACCTTGAATGAACTCATGGGCACCTTTTAGTTTCTGGAAGTCCTTAACCATCCTAAAGACCAGGCTTGCCATTTCTGATAATGCCTTTCCTTTATTTTAGTCTGTAAACAGCTGAATTCCACCTGAAATTTCTTCATTTAAAAAAATGGTTTAAACCTAACAAGTTATACTAAATGTCGACTTTCACCACCTACTTTCAGTGTGTAACTTTAAATGAATCTGAGAAAGGCAAAATGCCACAAAACTGAGGACACTTCAAAAAGTTCATGCAAAAATGGAATTGACAGGCAAGTTTATTTTTGTGCTAAAGCACATTTTTAAAATCCATGCATGCTAGAAGGTCTTCATAAAGTTTGATAAAATGGTTATTCTAAAAAACTATCCATGAATTTCGGAACTTTTTTGTTCCAAAATTATCTTTTCATTTCATTTGTCCATCAGCATCTTTTATTTATTTATCGGAAAATCAGAGAGACAGACAAAGAGATCTTCATCTTACATTTCATTCCTTGTATGCCCAAAATAGCA